TGCTGGGCCGGGGGTTGGGGTCGGGCCGGGGGCCGGCAGTGCTGGGCTGGGGGCTGCGGCCGGGCCGGGGCCGGCAGTGCTGGGCCGGGGCTGGGCCGGGGTGCTGGCCTGGGGGTGCTCGGCCGGGGGCTGGCCCAGGGCCGGCACCCCAGGGCCCGAGCCGAGCCAGGCTGGAGATGCTGGGGCTGGGGCCGGGGCCGGCCGCCGGAGGGAGCAGACTGGGCTGCACCTCCCCCTCCGCCACCCAGCTTACCTGCTGCCTGCTTCAGGCTTCCCGCGAATCAAATGTTCGCGGGAAGCAGGGGAGGGGGCGGAGTTGGGGCGGGGACTTTCGGGAAGGGGTGGAGTTGGGGCGTGGGTATGGGCGGGGCTGGGGGCAGGGCCGGGGCCCTGTGGAGTGTCCTCTTTTTGGACACTCAAAATATGGTAACCCTACACTAAGGCTATTTACTGGGTTGTGACCTGTGAGCTTCTCTGCACTGGAGGAGACATTTGCTTCATGCTCTGAGAACTTTACAGAGATGAGAGCTGGTCAAAAAGTATTTGGAAAGAAAATTTTTCTGTTAGAAAATGCTGATTCATTGAAATCAACGCATTCTGCAGGAATGTGTTGGTTTTGATGAAATTTGAAACAAAGCTTTTCAGTGAGCTGTAAAAATTCTGGTTCAGTCTTACTGGAATCATAGAAGCGTAGGACTGGATGGGATCTCAATAGGTCATCTAGTCCAGTCCCCTGCACTCAAGTCAGGATAAAGTAGTAACTAAACCATTCCTGACCCGTGTTATTCTAACCTGTTCTTAAAAACCTTGGGTGACGGTTGAATCCACAACTTCCCCAGGTAATTAACCATCCTGACAGTTAGGAAGCTTTTCCTAAAGTCCAACCTAAACCTCCCTTCCTGCAATTTAAGCCCATTGCTTCTTGTCTTCTCCTTAGCGGTTAATGAGAACAATTTTTCACTCTCTTCCTTGTAACAACCTTTTATGTCCTTGAAAACTGTTATCATGTCCCCCCTCTGTTTTCCCTTCTCCAGATGAAACAAACCCAATTTTTTCTATCTTCCTTCATAGGTCACGTTTCTAGACCTGTGATAATTTTTGTTGCTCTTCTCTGGACTTTTTCCAGTTTGTCTACATCTTTCCTGAAATGTGGCGCCCACAATGCTCCAGCTGAGGCGCAGGTTTTCGTAACACTTTGGTTGCCACAATTTTGCAGCTGTTTGATCTCTAATTTGAAATGTATTATATATTAATTTTAATTATATTATAGAAAGGAGGTCAACTGCCACCCCAGCACCTGCTTGTGGCCAGGAGTGCCTCTGCAGTGCCTTGTTTTCCCCTTTTTCTGGGCTCCTTCAGCAAACTCCACACAGTCTCTCTTTCAACACAACCCTTTTGGGGACTCTGTCTTTTTATTAGCATTATTAACTTAACAAATTTCTCAAAACAAACACAAAAGAAATCCTCCCCCCAGGCTTAAGCTGGGCACAGCCCCTCTTCCCTGAGGTATTGTCCTTTCCTTGGGGACCACTGCATCCAGTAGGACAAGCCACCCTGTTATAATTATATGATACCAGCTACCAAACACAGTAGCAGTTACCACTTTTATTGCTTTTATTTTATATTATAATTTTAAAATATTCTACCCTAATTCAATAGAAAATAAAATAATATAAAAATAATATATTAAACAGTCAAAATTGGAGAGAAAAAATTCAGTTTTATCAAAACAAAACATTTCCATTGATGCAGACTGCAATTCTTCATAGGCTGTGGAGTTGCAGGTTGGGAGCAGGCAATAGACCCTGGAGGAAGCTGGTGGGGGGAAAAGACCCTACTTTTATTCCCGCTGGCTAAACGTTTGAGGAAGGAGTTTGCCCATTCCCTCTATACATTTGCCCATGCTCCCACTCATTTTGTTTGATGGTTTGTGTATTTATCTGTTGTTTCAAATGATGCTAATTTCCTGATTTTTCATCCCAGCACAGAGAGTCTCCACTGAGTAGGGGTTGCCTCCCAAGCTGTGACTCTCTGTTCTCTCTCCACAGCTTCTCAGTCACTGCTTCTGCTCCAAGAACCAATTGTAAAGATCCTGCCACACCCACCAAAATGAATGGGATCATCATTTATGAGCATATAAACTTCCATGGTAAATCCAAAGAATTCACTTGTGACATCGCTGACTTGAAGCCCGTAGGGTGGGACCACTGTGTCTCCTCTGTAAAGGTCACTGGCCAACCCTGGGTGGCCTATGAGCATCCTAATTATTCAGGCAAGTTCCTGGTGTTTGAGGAAGGTGAATACAACTTTGTTGGTAAAGATATGAATGACAAGATCAGTTCTCTCAAGCTGATTACTGAAAACCTGAATAATCCCAAGATCACCCTGTATGAACATGCCAACTATGAAGGGGAGATCAAGGTGGTAACAGAAGCAACTAGTCTGAGCAAGGGATCTTTCAATGACCGAGTGTCTTCCCATAAGGTACAGAGCGGTGCCTGGCTATTGTGTGAACATGAGGATGGAAGTGGCTTGAATTATGTTGCCCGGAAAGATGAACAGCTTCTAAACTATGAATCGATCGATTTCAATGACAAGCTTTCATTTTTGCGTCCCCTGAGAGCTGGCTTGTGCTAGTTCCGAAGGGCTGCAGAGCCTGCCATCCTGCGGTGCCATTGATCGGCTGAGCCTCTACAGGGAGGTGCAGAGTTAGAGCTCTGCCCATGCTTGCACTTCATTGCTCCACACACCACAGAATCAGTGAATTTGGGAAAGCGCAGCTCATCCTGTGCATTGCTTTATAACCTGGTATCCTGCTGTTTGTCCCCCAAGGCCGTGCCAGAACTTCCTCCCGGACCTCACCCTCCCAGTCTCTTTCACGCTTTCCCTGATCGGCAGCTTCATCTGGGGTGTTCCCTCCCCTCCCAGATCCTTTACACAGCTCTAACTAGGAGGCTTATTCAGGGATCTGCTGGCCCCTGTCTGCCATTTATTTTCCTTTCAGTCCCTTCTCCTGGGATAAGACGACCTCTGGAGTTCCCTGAGCTCTACATTTCTATGATTCTTTGATCATAGAGGGACCCCCAGAGGTGTTTGAGCCAACCTTGGGACTATCCTGCCCCATTATCTCCATGACACCCAGAGACAGATTGAAAGGAATGTCCACATGGATGAAACAGAAGGAGTCAACCAAACAGATCATCAGCAAACCTCGATCACCACAGTCTAAAGAAAGTGTGAGATTTCCAGTTTCTACAGCTTCATGTGGGGTGGGAAAGGGGATGGGGAGGGGATCATGTTCTTTGTGGAGATAGGAACTTCCAGCACCTCCTAGTATCAGCACCCACCAACAGGGAAAAAATCATGGTGTGCCACTGGCTAAGAGATCTCACACAGTGCTTGTCATCTGCGCCCTAACGTGCCATGTCAAGGTTGATCGAGTTGATCACTATCTAGGATGGGAGAAGAAGAACCGAGCATGAGGTGCACCAGAGCACATTGCGCATAGCACCAACCCAGGCCATCGATCCAGGAGTAAGCTCCAGCATGGAGGTAGCTCCACAAACCCGCTGTGTTTCCTACCTCTTCCATCCCAACATGCTCATGTCGGCTTCCAAGGAAGGATTGAAGGGTTTCCAGTACGCTAGCTTATCTGAGTGATTTATTGTTAACCTGCTCCAATAAAATGATTTGCAGTGAAACTTGGGCTAATGGTCTCCTGTTCCGATAGCCAGTAAAGGTTCAGGCCCCAGGAGAGCTCCTTCCTGCGTAGTAACTGCCTTGATCCAGACTGGACTTAGCTTTTCAGAGCAGAAGGAACTCAGCGCCAATACGTTTCCTCTGGGGATGGCACAGCTGGAGGGGAGCTGTGACTCTGCTTCATGATGCCCCCTCTTCCTGGTCCCCCAGAAATCTTTGTGTGGGTGGCTCACAAGGGTCAGTCCCATGGGTGGAGCTGGGTCAGGTGAAGAGCAGGAGCAGGACGGCCTCATATCCCCCATGTCTTATGGGGCGTCCCATTGCAATAGAATGTGCAGCAGAGTCAGCAGAGTGGCGTATGGAAAGTTCATCTAACTGAACTCTAATGTGTAGATGGATGTTATCAAGAAGGAACCCTTGTAATAGATTCATAGAGTTTAAGAATGGAAGGGACCATTATGTTCCTCTGGTCTGACCTTCTGTGTGACAGAGGTCACAGGATTTCTCCCAGCAATTCCTATAACACGTGGTTGAATTCGATCAGTGTTTCTCAAGCTTTGCAGGTGGGAGACAACTTCTTCAATGTCAAAATTCTCTGCAACCTCTCACATTGATGAAAGTAATAGTAAACATTATTTACTATTATTAGTCAATGATAACACTGATATACTCACAGAATTTGTGTGTGATTTGAGAGGTTGGCAGAGACATCGTGAAGGGTAAGGGTCAGTGGGGAACAAGAATTTATTTGCTTTAGTTTGTAATAACATTTCCTATGCCTTGCAACCATTGGCTTTGGTGATCCCCCTGAGAAACACTAAACTAAACCATATCTTTTCGAAAGACAGACAGACTGTGTTTGAAGACTCTAAGTGATGATTAATCACATCCCTTGGTAACATTCAACAGCCTAGTTGCTAATTATTCTCAGTCTTAAAAAGTTGCATCATATTTTCAATTTGATTTTTTTTAACTTCAATTCCCTCCACCTCTTTTGGATCTCATTCTGCCTTTGATCAGACATCTTCACTCCGAGGAGGTACAGACTGATCAAGTTGTGTCTTAACTGAACACATGATGAGGGCAGAATCTCAGCTTTCACTTAAAAAATGTAAATTTTGAGCAAATTAACACTTTGAAAATGTGACCCAAGTGTAACAGATGCAGTGGTGTCTGCCTGGGTCTTCAGAGAGCCTGAAACAACATCTCTGAGGGTGTGAACTGTCCCACTCATCCCCATGGGATTTTCACTCCCATATCCATCGCTCTGGGGGTCCCCGCCAACACCACCCAGTCTGAGAACACTGTGTGGCAGAGGAGTGCAGCAGGCCCGGTCACCTACCCATCCAAGCAGATATACCTCACCTATGAAGATAAGTACTGGGGGGAGGGAGGGAGAGGGAGTCAGCTGCCACTCCTCACTCTCCAAGTGGGGAGAAGGGATCCCCATCTCTGCTGCTGCTAAGGGTGGGAGGCCCTGCTACGAGTCCTGCCATGGATGAAGGGGCCCCATACAGCTTCCCCTCCAGAGGGGAGGTGGCCCCCTTGCCACTGGGTGTTATGATAAATAATTTTTCAATGGGGTCAAGAGATGCTATAGTGTGATTATGCACAAAGTAATTTCCAGGAATTTAGAAAACTCTGCTTCCAGGAGTTGCTTGATGAGGGAGAACAGTGTGTGTGTTTGGAGGACGGAATAAAGCTCCTATGTTGCATTGTCTTGCTCTCTCTTGTGAAGTGCTTGAACACTAAACATGGCATCAGAAACGAGTCAGCACCTGCAGCTCTGTGCAACCAGAAACAAATAATTTTAAACCAAATAAACCCATCCAATCATGCAATAACAACAACAAAGAATTATTGAATCAGAGGACTGGAAGGGACCTCAAGAGGTCTTCTAATCCATTCCACTGCACTCAAGGCAGGACCAAGCACTATATAGACCATCCATGACAGGTATGTGTCCAACCAGTTCTTAAAAATCTCCAGGATGTAGATTTCACAACATCCCTAGACAATTTATTCCAGCGCCTAACCACCCTGACACTTAGGAAGTTTTTCCTAATGTCCAACCTAAACCTCCCTTGCTGCAATTTAAGCCCATTGCCTCTTGTCCTACCTCCGAGGTTAACGAGAACAATTTACTTCCCTCCTCCTTGTAACAACCTTTTATGTACTTGAAAACTGTTTATGTACTTGAAAACCCCTCTCACTCTTCTCTTGTCCAGACTAAACATGCCCAATTTTTTCAATCTTCCCTCATAGGCCATGTTTTCTAGACCTGTCATCATTTGTTGCTCTTCCCTGGATGTTCTCCAGTTTGTCCAAGAGAAAACAGTAACCCTAACAGCATACCAGTCCCCTGTTCCTGAGCAGAGGGACATGAAAGGCGATGTGTTTAACAGCTTGGCTTTCTTTAGATCACCATGGACTGAGAGGATCCATGTAAATTCCTAGACTCAGTGTCACAGTTCAGGACAACTGCACCTATATTTCCCCTCTGGGGTCCAGCAAGGGCACCCACACTAAACTCCCAGTTCCTTATACCAGTGTAACCCTTCTGCCAGGTGAAGCCAGCAGCAACAAGGGCTGGGTTCAGTATCTAGGGGTTCCTTTCAACAGTACAACACAAAACCAGCTCGAGCCCTAACCCAGTGACCTAGGACAATTACACACCACCCCCTGGATGCCTCTAAGAGGCAATACTTCCGCTCTCGCAAGCACAGAGTCTGAATGTAGCAAAAACTTTTAATAAACTCAACATTAATTTAGAAAAACACCGCAATTAGGGTTCATAAACACAAACCATGAGCAAAAGACCCAAACCCAAGTAAGTTGGGCAGTGTCCTTTTCCCCTCAGGTTCTTAAGTCTAGCAACCCAAAGTCCCTTTAACGTGCCCATCCCTTCTCTGTACCCCACTCACACTTGCTGTCCTTGGCCAGTGCAGTCCCAGAGTTCAGAGGTTCATCACAGAGATCACCTCCCACCCTGTGAGGAGGTGGGTGGTGATGTTGCACTCCATATGTTTTATGGAAATATGTTTATAAGTGTGAATATGATGCAACTGGAATATGCTTTATGCAAAAGGTCTCTTGTAAGGTAGCATTACAAAGCTTATAATCTACTGAATATATTCATTCTATTTGTATGAATGTATCATTTTTGCATCTGAAACTAGAAATATGAAGTATAACTCTGAGGTCCTATTGTAATTATGCAAAGTGTGGGCTATTAATGGTGGTGTAGAATCTTGATGGCTCCCATTGACTGGGACAATTGACTGTAAATGGCTCTGTTTCCCAGCAAGCCTGCCTGTGTACATGTAGGCCAGCCCGTGGATTATGAAAAATGAGGTCTTACAGTGACATGTGACCATGTCACCGGATACTGGAATCCAGGGCCGGTGCAAGGAAGTTTCACGCCCTAGGCGAAACTTGCACCTTGCGCCCTCCGCCCCAGCCCTGCGGCAGCTCCCCGCCCCCCGTCAGTCCTGAGGTGCCCCCCCCCGCGGCAGCTCCCCCCACGGGGAGCCGTGTGGCGGCTCCCCATCCAAGCTCACCTCTGCTCCGCCTCCTCCCCGAGCACACCGCCCCCGCTCTAATTCTCCTCCCCTCTCAGGCTTGCGGTGCCAAACAGATGATTGGCGCAGCAAGCCTGGGAGGCGGGAGAAGTGGAGCGGCGACCGCGCACTCGGGGAGGAGGTGTAGGAATGCTGTAAAAAAATTGGGGGCACCGCTTTTTGGCACCCCCAAATCTTGGCGCCCTAGGCAACCACCTAGTTTGCCTTAATGGTAGCATCGGCCCTGCTGGAATCCATCTTAAACGTGGTGCTTTTCCATTTAGGAAGAGGAGTGGGGACCCAGAGAGACAAAGGATTCCTGCCTTGTGCCAAAGCTATAAAAGGGGGTGAAGCAGTACAAGGGGGGCCCCAGTCATGAAAAAGACCCTGTTTTTCACCAAAGATGCCTGTTGGAACAAACAAGGACTGTCCCAGGGGAAAAGATTGGGCCCAGACTAGGAAGGAGTCTAGTCTGTGAAAGAAGCTTATTGAAACACCTCTGAGGGTGAGATTTACCTGTAATCAGTATCTTAATATATTAGGCTTAGATTTGCATGTTTTGTTTTATTTTTCTTGGTAACTTACTTTGTTCTGTCTGTTATTACTTGGAACCA